TGTCGCAAATAAATCATCCACTGTTTACTCTATATTATATGATTAAATGGGTTTATTAAATCACTGTGTCAGTCCTTATTCATGGTTAGTCAACATGTCAACATCATTGACTTTAGAGAATAAATATTGTTGCTAATGTTAATGATTTCCTCAACCCTCCAAATGTGTCCTATACAATATTTCAGGGGTATAAAATCCTAATCACTGATATGTAAAGCCATACTCAAAAGGTACATTTAAAGCATGTTTTATTACCAAACAGCAGAGAACATACTGGAAATATGTTGATGACTCAATTTCTGTAATAAAAAAAGAAAAGTTGTAAATAAGACAACAATTATTGATGTTTTACAAGAAAATATTATTAGTCTTTGTACTTCAAAATGTTTAACTCAAATTGTTACTTGCTTTTTTCCCTCTGTATTCATTTGCGAAATTTACTAGAAATTTCAGAGTGATTTTTTTCCAAGTAAATCCTACACCTACAGTTTTTTTCTTTTTTAAGAAATACTGTTTTATTAACGTTTTTAAGACAATATATATCCAAAATGACAACAAACACCCTTATTAGTAAAACTCTTAAAAAATGTAATACGCAGATATTTGGGAGAAAATGTACAAATTAACAAAGATGGGTCTTTTCATTCATCTTCCAGTAAATGAAAGTCTCTTATCATTCTAGCAAATTTGCAGGCATGTTTAATATTCAATTGGAAATGATGGACAATAGTTACAAATAACATACAGAGATTTTGTCTTCATACACTTACATTTATAAAGAATTTACCTAGAATCATTACATTAAATTAATAAAATAAATCTGCTTTTTGTCATCCAACAACATTCCAAATACAATACGGGTTCAAAAAAATAAATAAAATACATAAAAATCAAATTACTGCTTCCACAAATGCAGTTTACTTGAAGGATATATAGACCTGCCTTTAAATATTTAGAAGTTTTTAAATATACAATTATTTGTAACATTTTGTCAAATGATTACTAAATCGTTTTAACCCGGATCTTTGAAAAGAATTGCTCGAAAGAACCGAATTTCGGAAGTGAGTCGGACCTCCCATTATTATTGAGGTATTATGCAGATCCTTTTATCTGTTGCAGATCCTTTTATGCACAGCCAGGAATTTTAAATCTGGTTCACGTAACATATTTTAATAAACTGTGTTAAATAAAGAACAAACTAAATGTTGAACCGAGTCAGTAAAACGCGCTTCTCCAAATGGAGCTATCGGGCTGCCGTAGCCGCGTGTTTGGTGGTGGGTGGGACAAATACAAAGGCAAGCAGGTCAAGAGGAGGAGAAACCACGTGTGACAGCCTGGCTGAGAATTGTCCTTTGCAAGTAAAGTTGTTTTTGTAATATCTTTGCATGTAACCAGGCAGCCATTCCGTCTGACGGAGAAGGCCATACAACAAACCCGCATCACAGCCCTCAGCAACGGACATCTGTTGCTTAACTCCGACACCAAAAAAGTCTTCTGGGAAACGAATCATGGTTAGCAAGACGGATGACATCCCAGCATCAGTTCCGAACTGCAACCCCGTACATCTTGCCCGGGAAGGCGAGATAGCAAACAGCAAAGACACCAGCAAGACAGCCTTGACGGATCCATGTGCCTGCGGTAAGAGAGCTTTACAGCCATTTAACATTGTAGCATGCAGAAGTCACTCGGCTCTTACTGACCCTGATGTATTTTAACAAAAGCCCATTGCAGTTCAGAGTAAATCAGTGTTGAGATCTGTTGTATGATTGACTGGATAGAGGTCAAAGTGAAGTAGGATTCAAAGGACATAAACAGGCAAAATGCTGCAGGGGTGTCTGCTTAACACCCATAAACACCATTATGTTTCTGAAAGGGAAGTAATGTTAGGTGTCTTCAGCGTGCTTACAGCCTTGTACAGGCCATTCATTTTTATGCCTCGCCTAATGTACTTTCTTGATCTGGATCTTATCGTGGTGCTTGGCTGTAGATAAACTCATTCACATGGTATTTCTCAGTAGATGAATTTCTAAAAGAAGGCAGGTTATAAAGCTTAAATTGAAATAAAAGTTCCATTCTGTGTCAGTGGTGTGATTGGGCTTCTCTTTCAGATTTTTTTCAGTCATTCATTATTACTGGATACATTATTTAAATGATCTTGTTGTGGTTGAACTATTTCTATCAAATGTTTTTGTGTGATTTTTAATACTAATTTAGGGTAATAGGATGGTAAACTATAGCAAAGGAGAATGTAAGCAGATGTCTGTTTACTCAGGTATTATTATTTTGCATGCATACACACACAGCAGTGACAAAAATCAAATTAAGAAGTGTTTATTGTAATTGAATGTGTCCCAGTTCAGCTTTTTCAGTCATTTAGGACTGTAGCCTAATTTGCAATTACATGAAACAATACTACAATCAATTTCAATATTTTGTTTGAATAAAAGAAAGGTTAATTGCAATACAGCACAAAAGACAACAGAATGATTTACAGTATGTCTGCTGTAGCAAATTAAACGATAAGTGCAGATCTGGGACAAATGATTCAACAACCACCTGCTGAAGCTCTTAAACTTGAACGCTAGAGATCAACCGGGACGTGTTATTTGTTATTTACAGGGTAACTTTCATTATTAACAGTGTAAAGAGTTGTCAGTAGCCGTGCTGTGTGTGAGATCCTGACGCACATGTTCTGTAACAGCGCGCATGAGCACCAATGAACTGAAGGTCACCTTCAGTGGGACGGAACTATTGAGCGCGAGAGGGAGAGCGCGCGTTTACTACGATCTGATCTTTAGGTGACTCTTGATTGAATAGTTTAAATGACCAAAAGAGCATATTATATTGAAGAGTTTACTTAATTTACTTTAAAAAAAAATATCGTATTAGTAATTAATAGCTTGTTTAAACGCGCGCCTGTCAATCGGCCCCCCTCTTGTTTTCATTCAGGAAAAGTGTTGCGCTCCTCGACCGGGAAGCGGAAGTAGCCACGCATGGAAAGTCATGGTGCATGTATGCTGAAAGAAGGTTATTGCTACCAGTTAAATATAGAGGGATCTGTTTGGTAAGTGCTGGGATTACACCGTTTGCCTACCACGTAGGAGTGATCCTGAAATTTGCGAATCATTTTCGAGCTACAAGCTGTCATTAGATCCGTTTTAGAGCACATAGCCGGGTGTTGTGCGCACTGTCAGTTGGAGAGCTGCTGCAGTTCGTGTCACATTTAAGGAGACCTTGGAAGAGACTGACTGGCATTATGGCACCAGACAGTTGTGGAATGGGTCACTCTCGGTCAGCCTTTGACTGTGTTTAATATGTTGGATTTGATGCTCGAGATGATGTCTGATTGTGCCTGATGTGATCTCTTTATTAGCTGTGAAAGTAAATGTCTTTGTGCGTTTGACATGATTTGTATGCAATTGTATTATGATTATATACGTAATAAATGTTTAATAAATCTATTTAGGAAGCTGGTTAGACCGTTTTTGTTTTGCACAGTAATTATACTGTAATTTTTATTGCCAATCTGCAAGCTTTGTTCAGCTTCATATTCCAATTTTTCATTATCAGCTGCTTTTGAGGATGCTCTCATTCAAAAACGTTTTGCACATATATGAATAGTACTCGACTATAGTAGTACTGTTGTTAAGTATAACAGGACTGTTATTTTACATATAATAAAATAATTGGGTTCGCATGAGGGCATCTATGTTGAGATCACATGATCAGCTACATTTGACTAGTTTTTATCTGTCCTACACTGAAAAGAAATTGGTGTAGAAACAATTTTCACACAGAAATTGCTAGTAAATGTACAAACAGTTGTTTACAAACAAAGAAACGGCAAGTAACATTAAATTAAACGTGACTTTTTTTTATAGTGGAAAAATTGAAGTAGTGTTTTCTTGTAAAATATACTACAGTAATCTTTATTATATTTACAACTCTTTATCATTTTTACAGTGTCTTTTTGCATGATTCTGTTTAATCATGGCTGACTGTAAAAAAATTGTGTACCTTTTTGCACAGCTTAAATGACAAGGATCACTTCCTGCAGCTTTTGTATTACTAGTGGCAAATGTTCAACACCATGCGCTGTTGTCCCAACACATCATGTCACTCATTTACATCTTGCTTGCGTCTCATGTAGGCCACCATGATCACAGTTGTGATAAAGTTTGGCAGGTGTCCCTTGTTGTGCATGACTAAAGGTTTAACGGCCACGTTTGCTTCGTTTTTCAGATTGTGTTGAAGCATTATTGTTTTCACAATGGGACTTTGCACTTGCCTTTTTATCATTGATAAAATTCACTTTATCGTAGGGAAAACGACAAGTTTGCCTTGTTAGGAGTGTAATAGTGTAATATCTCTGTCCTGAACACTCTGAATGATTTACCTGCATAGGGTTGCATATTAATCGTTAGGGTTTTATTTTTATTCTGAACTGTTCTGAACTTCTGCTGCAGTGCCGCATGTGTTAATGCAGTGGTTCTCAAACTTTTTTGGTCGCGCCCCCCTTTAAACCTATAAAAAAATCTGGCGACGCGACATGACAAACCCCCGACATTAAACTGATGTCTTGTTCTATTTATGACGTACTGACACAAAGTGAAAATGATTTGCAACGGTCGCTTTGTCGCTTCCAGTGTAGACTTTCGGCGTGACGCAACAACTGTAGTGTACGGTATAGACACAGCAAGTGAAGCCAAGAGCAAGATATGCCTCATCATATTTTCTGCATTTAGCTTTTAAATGACCAGCACTTGCCTGGGTCTGTGCGACTTCATCTATGGCTTTTCTCTTCCCTTTCACAAAAAGAGCCATCTCCCATTCTAAGTTACGTCCTTTGGCTGTTTATTGTCTTATTTCTTTTCTTTTTCTGCTGATGGGGGGCGCGCCCCACACTTTGAGAACCACAGTGTTAATGTATTAAATTCACACTGTGTTCACATACTATATAGATTACGATGGGATTAAAGGTGCAATAGGTGATTGTCTTCAGAAACATTTTTTATGCTGGTTGAAAGTCTCTTCACATCCCGATAGCAATCATTACGTTAAGTGGTCCAAATGTATTTATATATTCTGTGGAAGGCGTAGGACCAAGAAATGTTCGTCCTATCAAAACGCTCGGTCTGAGCGTTTTAATTCACTTTCCTACCTGCCTGTCAACGTATGTATCTGCATACCTCTGCGCACCAGGTTCGCAGCGCGTTCACGCACGCTGTGCAGACAGAGCGAGAATGGCAGACAAACATCAACAACCCGATCTTCCTTCCTGGTATTGTAGTACTACTATTAAAGTTTTCTCACCAGTGAATGACACATGATGTAGCCCAGTGGTTCCCAATTCCAGTCCTCGCGCCCCCTGCTCTGCATATTTTGCATGTCTCGCTTAGTTAACGCACCCGATTCAGGTAACCAGCTTGTTAGAAGTGAGCTACGTGCATGAACTGTGTTCCGATCGATATGATCCCTACACAGTGTTCATTGCTCCCTACTCCCTGAGCAGGGGAAATCCATTTAAGTTTACTTCACTTCGGAACATGGGCTGGAATTAGGAACCGCTGATGTAGCCTATTGTAGTAATGTTGTCTCTGGTATTCTGGTCTGTGAGCGTATATGCGTGGCTTTGGAAGGCGATTGCAGGGAGGGTGGGATGTTCACTTTCAGTGCTATCAGGCTAAAGTTAGCATTTTCCAAGATCTCCTACTGCACCTTTATTGGATAAAGGTTGGTGTAAAGTCTTAGAACATGCTCTGCTTTAGTGTCATAGGGAGATTAGCATATCAGTATAGTCTAATGTAAACTGGTTACATCTGATCCTCCAGCCTTCAGATTCACTAAATGTGGTGTATAGCTGGACTTCACCCAGCTGAGGGAGGACTGAAGGACATGGGGATTGACTTTTGGGTTGTGCAATGCCGAGGCAGAAACATCATACACACTTTGATCTATTTAAAAGCCAGCCATTGTTGTGATGCAATTCAATGGAATGGCTGGTTTGAAATTAGTGCTCGACCAATGTGTTTTTTTTGACAGCTGATACCGATATCTTGGAAAGCAGGGTGGCCGATATAAAGCCGATATAATTGTATTTATTTTAATTAATATTCAAGAAATTTGAAATCATTTGAAAATGGATTAAAGAATAAATGTGTAAAATAAACATACTTATGCTTTAGATGACAAAGTATTTTTCACAAATAAATATTTAATAAAAATATAATTAAAAAGGAAGTAGCCTAAATACTGTAACCAACAGGGCACTGTGGGAATCGTGCGGGAATTGTGTGCATTGGGAATCATATTTGTTCAAATAAAGGTAACACTCATTTTACATACAGCACAAATACAAACACATACAAAATTACATGAATATGACAGTGGGCAAATGCATAAAGCGCAGCATAATTTGAAATCACGAGTTTACGATCGCGCGTCTTCAGTGAAGCTGAACTCTCCTCCTGTCAGCTTTCAATTCACACGGACCGGCCGTAATGCAGAGAACACGCGATCATGCAGGATACAAATGTACACTTCACAAGATCTCACAGCTGAATTCGACTAAGTCTGCAAGGTTTGTGAAATTAAATGTTCATTATTCATTCAAAGATTTGTTTAAATGATATAAATGCGTATTTGCTGAATGCTGACGGCAAACGAGAAAGTATTACAATGTTTGCCTTTCTATTACTAATAATATAATACTTTATATACATTTTAATTCCTTTGTTTCTATTGTTCTATCTGATTATTAGACAGACTTCTATCCATATTAGACAGAACTGTTTACGACGATGGCGAACAAGAGGGAGAATCCCTCCCGCCGTCAAAATAAAAGTTCCGCCTCAAACGCATCGGCCATAAACAGGAAAACTTGTCGGCCAATGCCGTTTTTTTGAAAAATGCCAAATATCGGCTGACCACTATTTGAAATTGTTGAGAAGTGGTTATCAAACAAGGGGGCCTCAGTATACTTGCATAGGGAACTTAAGATGACTTGAAATGATTTTAAAAGAAGTAAAAATTACACACACACACATATATGAGGTAGCTTTATTTTAAAAGTGTGATTCTTCTTCTTTCTGCACCTGGAAAAGTCATGTAAATTAATGAAATGGTAAAACATCATATATTTTTTTTGTAGTTATGCCAAGCTCTAAAATATTTCATTAGGTGGAAATTGTGAATAAAAACATCTTTAAAAATCCTTATTTTTAATCCTTACCCTGTCAATTATGCATAACTGGAAAAGTGGAGTCTGGGGCCTTAAATATTATTGTGGACAGTGGGAGGCTTGGAGTCAAAAAGGTTGAGATCCACTGTTTTAGGGCTGTGCAAATCCAGTTTTCAGTGATGTTTATTCATTTTTGTTGTTCTGATCAGGATTATAATAGTTAAAGGGGTGGTTCACTGTTTTTTTTCTAGGCTTGATTGTGTTTATGGGGTGCAGTCTAACATGTGTTAATGCTTCGTTTTTAAAAAAACGCATTATTTTTCACATAATTTGCCTTTATTCCACACCACTCTCTCCCTTCTCTGAGAAACGTGCTGATCATTTCCTGCTTTTATGAAGCCCTGCCCTCAGAAATAGGCAGTGGGCTCTGATTGGTTAGCTTGCCCAGTGTGTTGTGATTGGCTAAACCACCTATAGTGCTCGTCTAAACGTCCCGCCCCTCACCTCACCGGCATGTGCTCCGGTTGTATTGTAAACAAAGGCGTCGTTAATATCGCTTATCAGTTTGAGCCCGATTGAGAAGCAGAGGGAAATCGCAATCAACCACCCTTTAACTAAAACATAACCAAGACATTTTTCTTTTAATTTAACTTAACTTTCATTTGTTTAATGTACTAAAAAAATGACACAACAAAATTTTTAAATCTAAATTAAAAACAAAATATTAAAAATTAAATATATATCATTCAAAATATTAATAAGAACTATAATAGAATCTGTATAATACTGAAGTAACACTGAATCAAAAATAAGATTAAATAAAATGACTAGTAAATAACCTCAAATTGTGATGCTTTTTACATTAATCTGTGACAATATATCAGATACGTTTTTTTTTTGTGGTCAAAATGCGTGTATACTTGAGTACACCATTTACAGAATTCCCCTGCAGTAAGTAACAGCTCCTATAGTTAACCAATAGGCTTCCACCACCTGACCTAATGCTTGTGATTAGATTTGGATTGGATTTGGGGGAGATCTGTGTAAACATTAAATTTAGAGCAAGATAAAATAACCATATGGTGCCGTTAGGTCTGAAGAAACACAGTCAGTTTCACTTTAAACGTATGATGGCTGCTGTAACTTACTGAAGGGAAGCTCAACCTCCACATTCCTTTTACACAGTGAAAAGAGGTTACTCATTACATGTCATTTACTCTTAGGCATAAGTGTATAATACTTAAATCGTGTTTTTAAGTGATTGTAAATGGGGATTGGGGTTTTTTGAAGCCTCTGTTGTGAAATCTGTTTGATCTGCCTCCCCTGTGGTCCTCGGTGTCTGAAGTGTGAGACCAGCTGCTTGTTGCTATAGCCGTGACCATTGAGGAGAGCCAAGGACATGCTGCAGTTTTCTAAAGCAAACAGTGTATTTTAGCTGAGAGTTACGGCCGAGACAGCTGTGGCATCTGAAAACATGCCTGCCTTGGCAAGAATTTCAAGTCTGTGTCTTTTTATTCAATTCAATGTGTAGCAAAACATGCAGCCTCAGCAGATCTGTGCAAGTGAATCAATCAGTAAGGCAGACGGGACCTCCTCAGACAATTGAGTCAGATGATATTGCACCAGCACTGGTCCGGCAGCATTCATTCGGCGAGCTTGTCGGGAATGATTGCCCCCCAAGACCCAGGACTTAAACTGTTGCTGTGGAGATCTCCATGGCAGCTTGGCTTTGCGCTGTGGGAGCTGTATTGTGTACAGTGTGTGAAGTGTCACAGGCCCTCAGTAGCTGACCGCTGTGCTAGTTGGCTGACCTAGTTGTAAAAATCCACTAGCCTTTAAGCAACTCCTTCAGGCTAAGCAGTACTTGCTAAACGACAAGCTAAGTGATTAGTGAGGTCTGTATTGTGAGTAGAGGGCTGTTACAAATTATTATTATTATTATTATGATCAACTAATACAACTTTTATTTAGGGCTGCACAATAAATCGCATGCGATATTTAACGGGCGCATCTTGTCAGAAAGCCGGTTCTGTAATCAGCGGTAAATCTCCATCACCTGCGGGCTTTCACATTGAGCAGCATTAACTACACAGAGCCGTTGTTCACTGACGAGCTGTGCAAAAAATCGTGCGATTATGAACGTGGTTTTGCGCAGCTCGTCAGTGAACAACGGCTCTGTGTAGTTAATGCTGCTCAATGTGAAAGCACGCACGTGATGGAGATTTACCGCTGATTATAGTATTATTATTACTAAAATTTGCTTTTATTTTTATATTTTCATTTTTTATTTTAATTTAATTTTGTTTTAGTTATTTTATGTTTTTGGTAGTTTTTAATATTTCTGTTTAGCTTTAATTTATTTTTGTTTCAGTTTTAGTAATTCAGTCACTTATTTCAGTTGCCAATTTTTGTCTTTAGTTTTTTTTACGTTTTTCATTTAATATTTATATTTTGTTTCAGCTTTAAATTACTGAACATTTTAAATGTAGGTTTAGTTAACTCTAACAACACTGTTTTGGAATGTTTAATTTTGACTGTACAAACCAATGAATCAGTGCTTTGGGTTAAACAAAATTACTAGGAAGCCATTGGCTTCCTAAAATTAAACATTTCAGAACCAGGAATCTTTTTTAAAAGTCAGACATAAATGACTCTTGAGCTCAGTAACTGCTGTGGGTAATTAACTGACCAAGTGAGTCTGATTCAAATCACTAATCACAGTGTACTTTCAAATTAATGTCAAATTTAAAAAATAAAATTGTTCTACCCACAGGGCACCGTGGTGACAGCGCAGTGATGAATGGAATAGCCGGTCATGATCAGGCTGAGGAGGCCGACTCCAAGCAGGACGGCAGTGCCGACGCAGAGGATGCTAACGAACAGGAAGTGATTGTAATTCAAGACACTGGCTTCACTGTGAAGATCCAAGCACCAGGAACGGAACCCTTTGACCTTCAGGTGAGTCTTTATCTTACGCTGACTTCTCATTACACAGAGACGTTTGTAACAAAATATTGTAAAAATCTGTGGTTCCTACTCAGGTGTCACCACAAGAGATGGTGCAAGAGATCCACCAAGTTCTGATGGACCGCGAGGACACCTGCCACCGCACCTGCTTCTCCTTGCAGCTCGACGGCAATGTACTCGACAACTTTGCCGAGCTCAAGTCCATTGAAGGCCTGCAGGAAGGCTCCCTTCTTAAAGTGGTCGAAGGTACAATTCAACACCTTCCATCTCAAGTAGGGATGTCAACCAATAATCGATGATCGATTAATTGTCGATAAGAGCTCTATATCTCGCAATTCTGAGAAAAAACTCACAGTTGTGAGATATAAACTTACAATTTATATCTTTGAGTAGCATTTGCACATCCTGTCATGCCGATGAATATATGCCACTGCAATAGGCGCATTTTACAGTTTTGAGGTCAACAAATAATCGATTAATTGATTGTCTCATTTGAAGGTAGTGAGTATTTAATGTTTTTGTTTTCTTCCTGTAGAACCCTACACAGTACGTGAAGCTCGCATTCACGTCCGTCACATCAGAGACCTGCTGAAGAGCCTAGATCCATCAGACGCTTATAATGGAGTGGACTGCAACTCCCTCTCGTTCCTCAGTGTCTTCACAGATGGAGACCTTGGAGGTCTGTGACAGCAAGATTGAGAGTCTTAAGTTGTTTCTAGAAGGTTGACGGCTAGTATTCATTGACCTGTTTGTTCTTACCTACGCAGATACTGGGAAACGCAAAAAGAAGGGCAATGAACTTGAGCAGATTGATTGCACACCGCCTGAACACATTCTGCCAGGCAGCAAAGAGCATCCTTTAGTTCCCCTTCAGCCACAGAACAAAGACTGGAAGGTGAGAGCAGATTACAGATTTTGACTCTTTAATGATGTCTTGCTTTTGTTTTGAGATGTTTGTTTACTTTCATCTTGTCCTCTGTCTGCAGCCAATGCAGTGCCTGAAGGTCTTGACCATGAGTGGCTGGAACCCACCACCTGGCAACAGGAAGATGCACGGAGACCTCATGTATCTGTACATCGTGACTGTTGAGGACAGACACGTCAGCATCACTGCCTCCACCCGTGGATTCTACCTCAATCAGTAAGTGATTGCACTGCTCTCTAGAGTACTTGATTCTGATTTCTCAGGCTGGCTTTCTGTGGTCAGTTATAGAGCGCACCATTTCTGGTGCCATTCATTTGGTCCACAAGGGAATTGATTTTTAATGAAAAATTCTAAAGCTTTAAAGAGCTAGGTTGTTAATGGATGGTTTATGCTTTTGTTGAAGCCATTAGTCTGCGTTGTTTCAATGCAGTATTATAATAATCATGTTTAACAGTGGAATTCCTCATGGAAAAACTACATTAGCTGTAGCTTTTGTTTTTTTGCAATAAATTTAAAGTAACATCCTTTAAATCAGTAGATTTATATTTATGCATCAGCATCACTGCCTCCACCCGTGGATTCTACCTCAATCAGTAAGTGATTGCACTGCTCTCTAGAGTACTTGATTCTGATTTCTCAGGCTGGCTTTCTGTGGTCAGTTATAGAGCGCACCATTTCTGGTGCCATTCATTTGGTCCACAAGGGAATTGATTTTTAATGAAAAATTCTAAAGCTTTAAAGAGCTAGGTTGTTAATGGATGGTTTATGCTTTTGTTGAAGCCATTAGTCTGCGTTGTTTCAATGCAGTATTATAATAATCATGTTTAACAGTGGAATTCCTCATGGAAAACTACATTAGCTGTAGCTTTTGTTTTTTTGCAATAAATTTAAAGTAACATCCTTTAAATCAGTAGATTTATATTTATGCATAATTTTTTGATCATCAATTAATCGTAGTAACATCAAGTACCCTGTCTACCCTTTGTCTAATTTTCAAATACTTTCCTGGTTCAAATCAATGTTTCTAATGTTGATTCACCTTGTAACTGTTTGGTTTGGTTCATTGTTTATAACTCTTGAACTTTTTTAATCCTTTTGGGAAAAATGATTGTGAAAAATAGTTTGAAACCATGATCGCTGAAAAAGTGGACGAGCGCTATTGCAGTCTATAATGCTCTCTAGAATACTTCATTCTGACTGGTTAGTGTGGCATTCCATTGTCAGCTATTTTTGCATAATAACAGGTAAACTGATAGCCTAAACAGCATTAAAAAAAAAAAAGTAATTGTTTGTTCTATTTTCCCCTATTTTTGCACTTAGATGACCTTTGCTGTTAAGTCTAATGCCACTTAGTTAAACAGTAATAATTTAACAACACTCTTAAATGTAATGTTTAGCAAATCTCAAAATAGTACTGAAATGTAATACCAGTCTTTTCTACAATTGGTCATAACATGAAAATAATTATTGCAGGTCCACTACTTATACCTTCAACCCCAAGCCAGCCAACCCCAGCTTCCTCAGCCACTCTCTAGTGGAACTACTGAGCCAGATAAGTGCTGCCTTCAAGAAGAACTTCACCGCTCTGCAAAAGAAGAGGTAATACACTATTATTGGTAATACATATTTAGTTCATCTCCCTCTAAAATTGAGAGGTGATTAGACTGATAAAGAACTCCTTTTGAAGCAACCGGCTCTAGCCTGCTTAAGGAATCGTGGCACATTTTATCTCCGCTAGGCCTCATTTGCACTTAGTGTTAACATTCTACTCAGGAGTGAGATAAAAGGATATCTAGGAGCCGCACTTTACTTTATAAATTACTAGCATTATTTATCGGCTTTAAGATATCGGCCAAATTTTCTTATCAGGCCGATACCGATAACAGAAAAAATGAGCATTTATCGGCCGATACCGATATGGTGGCCGATATATCGTGCATCCCTATAAATTACTTTTTTGTAAGTTGGCCTTTAAGGAAATCTGCTGTAATTATAAAACAAAGCTGCTGGCTTTCAATTTTTTTTTATTAACAGAAACTGGGAGTAGTTATGATTTAAATGTATTTTGTAATTCCAGAACTGTATGTTCTTCAAAAAAATAAAAAATTATTTGGGGAATTTATTTCAGTTTACTTGATGTGTTTTTTTAGCATTTCAATTTAGAAGTTAGATTATTTTTTTTAAAAAAAAAAAAAAAAAAAAAAAAAGTTCAGTTTACATCTTAATTGTATGTTTTTAGCTTGTTAGATTATTTTTAAATATTAATTATAATTTATAAATTTAAATACTTAAATATTTAAATAAATACTCCCTAGTTGAGAATAACTGGACTACATTTTTGTGTGACAGTTTTAGAGACTTTTACTGGTCTTCATTCTGTTATCGTATTATCTTTTTTTTTTTTTTTTTTTTTTTTTTG